GCGGGGGGCAGGGCGTATGTTCAGGTGTGTGTATATGTTGGTAGGGGTTGGGGGCTAGAGTGGGGGGGCGTGCAGCCCCACTGCCAGCAGCACCAGGGGTGCCTCTGGCCAGCGCTGCGCACAGGGGTGAGAAGTACAGCCTGCCCAGTTGCTTCCACTACCAGGGCTCAGCCTGGCACACCTGCAGCTCCTGCACTCGCACCAAAACACATGGTACTGCCAGCTGAGCTGGGTGAATTGCTGCACCAGCAATTCACCCCACCCCACCCCACCCCTTCTTTTCTTATCCTCCACACTCCTGGATCTGCAGTCATGGGGAGCTGAAAGGGCTGGCCCCAGCAATATAAAAAGCTGCCCTGGCAAATAGCTCAAGGCTACTTGCTCTCAGGAGCTTCTGAGGCCCAGCCAGCTGATATATGGAGAGACACAGCCCTTGCCCTCTCTACCCACTGCAGCAGTCTGGCAGTGGGAGCTGCTACCTGGCTGTGACCTGCTGCCACATGCAACAGCATCCATCCCCTTAGACCTGCAGCCCCACATCTGAATGCCTGCCAGAGCCGGATGGGGAAATCGCACAGCTGCCTGGGATGTGGTACGGGCACTGCAGCAGAGCCGTCTGCACCTCTGGGCCAGCTGCCATTGGGCTGTAGCTGCACAGCTGGTCTTTGTGCAGCACACAGGCCATGTGCGCCCCTGCCCTGCCATCTGGGCAGCTAGCGCCTGAAAGATGTGCTCATTGTGGTGGCCCACTGTGAACCATCAAAGCGTGTCCTCCTGGCCCCAAATGGCCAGGTCAGCCACCTCATTTGCCCTCCAGCTGGGTGCCCGGTGCCAGAAATCCATGTTCTTCCATAATTAAAATGAAACGGCACTAGAGAGAGAGAGAGAGAGAGAGAGAGAGAGAGAGATCAGTTGGGCAAAGTTTTATTGATATATTTACAATTTTTAAACAATTTGCAAGCCTACCAGTGCCTCTAGCAGGGGTACGCCGACAGAGATTTTGAGGGCTGATACCAAAAGCCAATTTTTAAGGAGGTGTATCGGCCGATACTGATCTGATTTCCAATACAGCTGCAGGCAGTTGGTAAGTCTGTTGTAGTGGATGGGGAGGAGGGAAGGGGTGGGGGGGCAGATCAAGGCCCCCCCGAGGTGAGGGAGAAGTGGGGCTGGAGCCAGGGCAGGTGCTATCCACCCGGGGCAGGCCGGGGTATGGGACAGAGAAGGGATGGCTCCATTGCTGCAGGCACCCCGGAGGGCACAGCCGGAGGTGGGGGTAGGAGGGGTCCCCTGGATCTGTGCGGGGGGCAGGTTGCAACTGCAGGTTGCGCCAGGATCTTCCCAGCACAGAAAGCCTGCGGCCACCCTATTTTGCTGTAGCACCCCTGTAGCCCCTTCCCAGCACTGCTGCCACCTGCCCCAAGCACGGTCCCCACACACTGGAAGCACAGCCCCCAACGTGGCCCGATGCCCCCTGGACGAACTGTGGCTCCATCCCACACCCAGTCCCGGTTGGGCAGCACCTGCCCCACTCCCTCACCACAGAGGAATTGATCTGCCCCCCCCACAGTCCACCACAACAGACTTAGCAGCTGCACACAGCTCTCCAAGCTGCCAGGCTGTGCTCCTCACCACCTACATGCTGTGCTGTGGCTACATTCAAGCACGGGCAGTTATTGGGCCAATTATCAGCCACATCAGGCCAATTTCCAATATAAAGACAATGGATTGTATCTGTGCGTATCCGATATTGGACCGATGTATCGGTGCACCTTGATCATCACCATAAAATTAATTCTAAATTTCTTTATGCTTTAGTGCTTGCCTTTGGTTTTTTTAAATCACAGAAAAATCAGACATCCCCCTGACTGTTAACCAGGGTGTGGGGACAGCTGCCCCTGCAACCACAGCTCCTGCCAGCAGGTCCCATCCTGACTGGCAGCTGGGCATGCAGGGTGTGAGATGTGGGGGGAGAGAGTGCGGTTTGCAGGAGGGGGGTGAGGAGGAATGTGGGGATATGGGTATAGGGCTTGTGGGGGGCTGCCACATGCCTGCCCGCCCCCCGCAGCGCACAAGCCCTGGTGCTGGCAGCAGCAGCAGCTAACCAGGCCGTCAGGGCCATGGCCTGCTGTAGGCACAGGCCTGAGGCAGCATGGCACAACCTAACTTGGGGTCTGGACATGGCAAACGGAGCCGGTCCAACACGGCCCGGTTTGCCAGCATGCGCCTTTGGACATGACTGGGATTTCCTGGTGTCAAATTTAGAGTCTGCGCTGCATAAGCGTGGGGAACATTTTTTTTTTATTTTTCTTAACATGCCTCTTGCAGCATCTCAAACTGCTTTGAAATGCCATAACAGGCACGCCTCCTGGAAGAACCCGCAGTGAAACTGAAGACAATTCCTTGGATGAATGGCCTAATGAAAGAAGAAAACTGCACAAGTCAGACAGCATTTCACTGATTTTTGATGAAAGCCTGTCATGGTATGTAGCAAGTGGGCTATGCAGAGAAAGCAGCAACAGCAACAATTCAACAGACTCTTCTTCAATTCCTGATCTTGATGCTCATTTAGTAAGTGAAAACTCTGATTGGTTTGATCACAGTTCTGTTTCAGACCAATTCAGTGTTGAGTTTGAAGTAGAGTCTATTTATTCAGAAGATTATAGTCACAATGAAGGAGAGGAAGTCACAGATGAAGATGATGACGTGTATCAAGAAACCATATCAGACTGCAGAGAGTAATGCCGATTTATTTGATGAAGATCCTGAAATGTCATTAGCCGATTACTGGAAGTGCCCTGGGTGTAGTAAATTGAACCCTCCTCTCCCATGGCATTGCCACAGATGCTGGGCTCTTTGTGAGGACTGGCTTCCCAACTAAAAGAACCACTTATCGGAAAAAGAGCAAACTAAAAAGTTCCACTCAGCTTGAACCTGAAAAGGGTTTTGATGTTCCAGACTATAAGAAGGTGAAGATGGATGAAGGTAAAGAGCCGGCTGTTGAAGAAAGTGATGACACTACAGTAACAAGTCTCTGAATCTCAGGAAAGTGAGTACTCTCAGTCACTTCAAGAGGGATGTGGCTAGCATTGAGAGGGTCCAGAGAAGGGCCATTCGTATGGTCAAGGAGCAGGCCCTATGAAGAGAGCTAAAGGGCCCGAACCTATTCAGCCTCCACAAGAGAAGGCTGAGACAGGATCTAGTGGCCATTTACAAACTTACTAGGGGGGGGACCAGCGAGAATTGAGGGAGGCTCTGTTCCCCCAGGCACCACCCGGGGTTACTAGGAATAATGGCCACAAATTGTTAGAGAGAAGGTTCAGGCTGGACATCAGGAGACACTACTTTACGGTTAGGGCTGCCAGGCTCTGGAATGGGCACCCAAGTGAGATGGTGCTCTCTCCTACCTTGGGGGTCTTCAAGAGGAGGCTGGACAGATATTTGGCTGGGGGGATATGACCCCAGCACCCGTTCCTGCCCAGGGCAGGGGGTCGGACCTGATGATCTGTTGAGGTCCCTTCCGACCCCAAGCACTATGATACTATGATGTACGTCTAGCAATCTCTTTTATAGATTCATAGATGCAGGGTGGATGCTAGGGTTGGAAGGGACCTCAACAGATCATCGAGTCCGACCCTCTGGTGCTGGGTCAGATGACCCCAGCCAGATGCCTATCTAGCCTTCTCTTAAAGGCTCCCAAGGTAAGGGAGAGCACCACCTGCCTTGGAAGCCTGTTCCAAATTCTGGCCACCCTTACCATGAAGAAGTTCTTTCTGATGTCCAGCCTAAATCTGCTGTCAGTTTGTGACTATTGTTTCTTGTTACCCTAAGAAGCTCGCCCTGGTGAACAGAGCATCTCTGGTTCCTTGCTGCGCCCTCCTAATGAGTTTGTAGGCACCAACCTAATGAGTTTTGTAGCAGTCAAGGACAAAGAGTTAAAAGAGAAAGAGAAGACAGAATCCAGTCTACCTATTACCAGCATAGAGCCCTGTGCCATATGTCAAAGTAGACCAAAAAAAATGGCTGCACTGTACACGGCAAGACAGAACATGTCATGTTTTACAAGCACGTGAAAACTAAAAAAGCAGAATAAGCCCTGTCCTGCCTGTAGGTAGTCAACTGAGATGCTTGTGTTAACTTATTTTGGTTAGAAGGATGTTGAACAGAACAAGCGCAGTAAAGCAAAAACATTGCAAGATTTCATAGCCTGAAACTATGATTTAAACAATGAAACAAAACACAAACTGTTTTTGTACATTTGAAGACTTATTTTGGAGGTTTGTGCCTAAATAGATGTAATCCAAAATAACATGTGCACTGGATTTATAACTGAACACACTCTAAATTTAGTCATTTTGGGGGTTCTCTTAAAGAGAAATGTTTGTTTCAAGATTGAGAGCAAGATTTCCTACCAACAGTCACATACCATATGCAGCTATTAATGACACTTGTATAAATGGGTGGCACACATTTTAAAAACTAATTCAATGCTCATTAGAAGAGACTTCTTGTATGAGTTTATATTATTGGAAGTCCTCCTACCTCTCTTTAATCAATATACATAGCATTTGTAAAGAGATAGAGAAGTAAAAACAATAAATTCTAGTATAGCTATTTCTTAGTGAAGACATAATAGATTAGAATTCCAGATAAATCTTTTTGAAAAATAACATTTTGACTCATTCGTCCTTACAATGTAAATCGATCTGCATAGATAAATTAAGGGGCAGTACTTCTGCTGTAAACTAACCTCAAGAAATGTGAAAATTAGTAAAGCATTTCTAATAGTCATCTGTTTCAGTCAAAAAATGGAATGGAAAAGAGTGGGTTTAGAATGCAGGAGCCATTATCTTCACAAAAACAAAGGCTACATTTTAGTCACTATATAACTTGTGATTCAGTACCAACCATGGATGGTGTCAAATGGAAGAAGAGAGTTACAGCCTGGTCCAAAACATTTTTCAGGCCTATTTCAAATGATTTGATAGTCTATCCTGGTACTGATGGATAGATCCAATTTGGACATACCTATACACACCTTTAATGTGACACTCCAAAACTTCAGACTGTCTTATGGTAAAGTTATCTGACAGCAGTGGCCCAAGTGTCACTGGTAGGAGGAGCTGGGAGGACCCATCCTGGAGGGATGCAGCTTCCTTCAGGATGATCTGCTGGTACCAAATACCGGTCCCATTCATGCCTGGAAGAGAAGAATGTTTACAAAGGATGTTTGTTCCGTTTCACTTCACCCATAAGACTGCTTATGATACGCTGATACACATGCATTTCTTTTCATACTGTCTGCTACGTAAGTCAACTGATAAGATCACTCTCTGAATTACATTCTTTAAAGCAAAAGCTTGAAGGCTGAACTCAGATCCCTACAAACAAACGTGTAAGTTCTAAATGTATAGGGTGTGCCATACTGCACACTGATGCCTCTAGCACAGGGGCTGGCCACCTTTCTCAAGCCACAGGCCAGAACAACCCTGATCCAGTCTGACATGGACTGGGTGGCCTAGACAGCACATCCATGCTGTCAGCATGGATGACACATCCATGCTGTCAGCTTGGGGGAGAGCCACGTAGCTGGGAACTACACCTGCATTGCTGGTGTTTTTCTCTGCCCCCACCCCCCAGAAGGGAGCAGTGCCAGGCTCAGGCCAGTTAAGGATGGGGAGGGCAGTAGTAGTGTGGGAGCAGCTTCCAGCTGCCCAGCCCTAGTGCAGCTCCTTGCTGCTCAGCCCCTGCAGGGGTGGGGCAGAGGCAAAGCCCTCCAGTTCTATAGGCCTTATGCTGCTGACCCTTGCTCTAGGACAGCAGCTCCCAAACTCTGACTATTGTGCACCACCAATTTAAAACAATACAACCTGAAGTGCCACCAGCACTTAAGGTGGGGGGGGGTGTGCGCATGTGTGTGTACAGTGGAGTGTGGGGAGGTGTGTATGGTGGGGTGTGTGGGAGAGTTGTGTATATGTAGGGGGTTCAGGGTATGGGTATGTGGGGTGTGAGGAACCTCCACACTTCCCCCATGGCACAGTAGCAGGTGGGGGTGCTCAGGGCGCAGGCGCCCGTTGGGGTGCAGCTCCGGCCAGCACTGCACATCACGCATCCTTCGTCAGGCAGTCTGTATCGCCAGCACTCCCGGAGTACGGGAGGGAAGCCCAGCACTGAAGCCAGCTGACTTTCACACCCACCCAGGGGAAGGCACCTGGGGCTTTCTTCCCATGCTGTGCAGCCCTGCTGGAGAAGGCAGCCAGCTCCAGCACGCGGGGCTTCCCTCCAATGCCCACTGAGTGTGAGAGCTACACACATGTGCAGGAAGCACTGGTGACAGACAGGCCAGAACAGGCTGCGCCTCTAGTGATGAGCAGGGCTGGCCAGAGCTGTGCCCAACCAGGCGTGCATCTGAGCGCCCCACCTGCTGCCACCACCTGCCAGGCCTGCACACCATGGGGGGGAAGAGAGTGGAAGCACAGGGGGTTCCCCCTGTCGCTTCCCCACCTGTTGCCTGGAGCCAGCAGGACACTGGGAAGTGGAGCAGGTACCTGGGGGCTGCTCCATCTGGAAGCTGTGTGCTGGCGGGGCCAGGCCCCTCTGTCCACAAGGGTAGGAGCGAGGCAATAGGGTATGTTTGGGGCTGTGTGTACATGTGCGTGCCTCATTCCCATCCTCATGGGTGGAAGGTCTGGGTGGGGCATGCAAACCACTGGTGGTATGCATACCACATATTGGGAACCACTGCTCTAGGATATCACTGTAGAGAAACCAAAAGTAATGTATCCAAATTATCCAAGTTTTCTTAGCCTCATAAGGGTGAATAAGGAAAACAGAGATTTATAACCACCTGAAGAAACCTGATTAGCATTTGTGAGATATAACTTTGTATTCACAAGTCGGTGAACCAGGAGAGGCTGCGATTTTATCTTTAAATATATCTATATAACCAAGTGCCACTTTAGTATTGTATGCAGTAAAAATGCTGGTTGCTCTCACCTGATCTGGATGAGGACTGGTACAGAATGCTCAGCTTGTAAATAATACTGTTTGAAGGGTCGAAGCAGATGGCCAAGGGGGAACTCATCTGTTACAACACATTAAAAACTATTTGGTAAAATGCCACAAATTCCAGCTCGACAAGGAAAGCCTAGACAATGAAGATGCCTTCCTGACTTAGCACTTTGCCACTCTATAATTAACGCTTAAATTAATGTACGAATTAGCAAATAACTTATCAGAAAGATCTACATTCAAATTGGCATCAAAAGTTTCATACTGAAAAAGCACTGCCCATATACATGCAAGCCCTCCTCTTCACTGCCCAGCAGGGAAACACACAGTACTAGATGGGAAGGACGAATAGCATTGGCTGAATGCCAGTACTAAAGCATCTACACCCTGTGGGAGGTTTACCACCTAAACCAATGGTGTGCAACCTTTTGGTGCAGCTCCCAGCTGAGCAATGTGGAACCCCTCTGCGTGCCAGGACTGGGCCCTGAGCCACCTCCAGCTGGGCCTTGTGTGCCCAGACCAGGCCCCGGGGCACCGACATGCATCATCCAACGTGCTATCTAGCCCGCAGGACTCCCCACAGGTCTGGAAATTTGGCAGCAGGGGAGCGGCAATTGCTGCCACTGTTCCCCCACCTCCAAGTTTTTGGACCCATGGGGACCCCTGCGGGCCAGCTGGCATGACTCCATGGGCTGGATCTGGCCCATGGGCCAGGGGTTGAGCACCTCCAATCTAAACAGCCAATTCAACCTAAACTGCTTGGCTTGCAAGATGTGATGAGACACTAATTTATGACACAGTTAAATTTCTAGTTCTTACTGCCACACCTTTTGAATTTGATAAATTTAATGAAAGAACTTGACTGAACCTGTGTCATCTCCACGTCTTCATGGCATCACCTATTTCAGCACGTCAGCTTTTGTAAACAAAGCTTTATGCTATCACTTCAACCTTAACCTTGCTCGTTTTCACAAAAACTCCCCAATACCAAAGCAAAATTTGCAGCCATGTACCCGGATTGCCAAACAGCACAGACTCGATTTCACGTTTCTGCTGCAGAAGCTTTTCTCTTTCTTTCCTCTGCTTCTTTTCCATTTCTCTTTTCCTCTCTTCTTCCTGCTCTCCTTCTAACATGACTCGTAGAGCTCTCTCTTCAGCTTCATACAGTTCAGTGCGTTTTTTAATCAATGTCCTCATCTTCTGAATATTATGTTCAAAAGCTTCATCTGCTGATGGGGGTGGACAGACACCTACAGAACAAGAGCGATAACTTAAAAAAAAAAAAAAAATCAACCTCAAAATCAGTTTCACGCCGAGAGGCAATTCGCAGCATTTTGGACAAACCTGCGTCTAAGTCAAGAATTTTTCTCACAGCTATCTTTCGATAAAATGTGTTATGTGGAGGAGTTTGGAATGGAAGTGAAGCTGCTATATTCCACATGCTAGAAAACAGATCCTTGAAGGCAGTATTATAAAAGCATCTAATTAAAAAGTTACAAGTCTGGAATAAAATCTGCCAAAGCAGCAACCTTCCCAGTGCTCCTTCCAGCAAGGTAGCTGGCACATGAGGCTTGTTGGTTACCCTCAAGGATGCTACAGAATCTTCCTCTTGGTGTGGCTATTTGGTACAGTCACTGTACACTATTAAATACATAAAACATGTGATTGTTCATGTCTACCATTAACTACTACTTCTTCATCGCCATCACTATTAACAAGTCAGGGAGTCTTACCAAAAGAAGCCATTGATCAGGATGAGCAATTATTTTGGGCAGAGGGCAGAGTTTTGGCAAGCCATCGAGGGCCCCATGACAGGCCGCCAGGGGCAGATAAATATTAATTCTCTAAATATTTTAGGGGCTCTGCAGGCCGGATAGGTTGGTCTGGCGGGCCACATCCAGCCCATGGGCCGCATTTTGCCACCCCTGCGTTAAATAAAGGACTTAAAACAGATCAAGGGTACCCATTAGAGACCAATATTTTGCAAAGTCAGGGAGTAGTAATAGGTTAAACTGAGGAAGGCCTTATTAAAATAAATACCAAAAAGCCACCGAGAAAGCCCGAATCAGGATTTAAAGTGTTAAGAGCTCTCTTCCAATAAAGCCCTTAAGTGAACCTTTTACTTATGAGAAGAGGACGCTACTACATCCCTTATGCTGTCTGAACCCCTCAGAAACTTACTGAGATTTTGTCGTTATCGCACTAGAGTCTCACCAGAAAGTGTGCGTTACTTCAGTGGCTGCATGAACTATAGAGATATATTTTGCTTTACTCCATAAGCAGCCAGAAAGAAGTGAGGCTGCTTGCAAAGTAAACGACTAATTAATATCCTGTCTTGTACCTTGTCTTTAACAGGGTTTGGCAAAAGAAAAATATCCCTATCCCCTACTGAAATTGCTCGTTATTGCCTGCATTTTTAATAGTTCACAAAAATCCCACCAAATTTACCTTTTCTTCCTGCGGCTTCTTTTCTCAGTTTCCTAAGCTTTTCTAAGCCCCGAAGGATTTCCACCATTCTCTTCGTGTCTGCCTGCTTCCTTCTTACTTCCGATAAGACGCTGTCGGCAGCCGCTTTAAGTTCCTGCTCCTGCGTTGGGGGGAAAAGCAGAAAGAAAACATGAGCCCCAGCAGGTACTCGCGAATACAGACAGCGTCAAGAAGCGTAAAGGGAAGAATAACTGAAATCCGTAACAGTGTCCCAGGACTGACGAAGCATCTCATCGACAAAGATGCGGAAAGTCAATCCAGCGCATTTTCAAAGAGAACCAAGCGAACGGACGAAACACGGCAGAGGGGCCAAAAACGAAGGCAGTGGTTGAGGGATACGGAAACAGACCGTCCTTCAACCTTAACTCAGCGGTCCCGAAACTTTTTCAGTCGACGTACCCCTCGGTCTCAGAGTGAGACTTCACATACCCCCTTTCAATGGGGAATTAATTAACACAGGTTGTTAAGACAACGTGTATGAAATGTATCTTGTGGGCCCCGGTTGAGAACCGCTGCCGTAACTCTTCCGAGCAAATACATCGGAGATTTTAATTTACGGCATTATTTTGCGATTGAGCTAGATGAGGGGTGCTCGTGCCCAAAGGTTTGCCAAAAAAAAGCAAACATACCCCCTTTCAATGGGGAATTAATTAACACAGGTTGTTAAGACAACGTGTATGAAATGTATCTTGTGGGCCCCGGTTGAGAACCGCTGCCGTAACTCTTCCGAGCAAATACATCGGAGATTTTAATTTACGGCATTATTTTGCGATTGAGCTAGATGAGGGGTGCTCGTGCCCAAAGGTTTGCCAAAAAAAAGCAAAAAAAAAGAAAAGAAAAGAAAGGGGAGGTTTG